GAGGATACGTCCTTCCTGGTGCTGTAGGCTTTCCTGCTGTCCTTGCTCTAAAAATAAAATTGGAGAGAAATCTCCTGAAGATCAAGTTGAGGCCGACCGCCAGATCACCAACACGTACATCGAAATGGAATCCTTGAAACCCACTCTTGGGGATTTCACACTTGGGGAATACACTGAGAAGATCATACAATATGGCTTCCTTATGGTAGGTACATTCTTATGGTAGGTTTTCCTGATTGTAGATCATTTGTCATGGTAGGACACTGTTCCTGACATGGGATGATTCATATAGAAGATGTACCTAATTATAGATGTTCCTAATGGTATATACATATTCCTTACAGTAGGTTTATAGGTTTCTCTATTACAGTTTTGTACATCCTAACTTATTATTAACAGATATGAAATGATGTTTCAGTTGCAGTTACTTGTAAAATAAAATCACTTTTCTAAAGATGTTGTTTAGATTATAGTTGTTTGTAGTGATGTTTCCGATTGAGTTTCACACAGATGTCCGTTTGGTTGTAGTTGTTTGTAGTGGTGTTTCTGATTGAATTTCACACAGATGTCGGATTGCTTGTAGTTGTTTGTAGTGTTGTTTCTGATTGAATTTCGCACAGATGTCGGTTTGCTTGTAGTTGTTTGTAGTGATGTTTCCGATTGAGTTTCACACAGATGTCCGTTTGATTGTAGTTGTTTGTAGTGATGTTTCTGATTGAATTTCACACAGATGTCGGTTTGCTTGTAGTTGTTTGTAGTGATGTTTCCGATTGAGTTTCACACAGATGTTGGTAATTGCTTGTAGTTGTTTGTAGTGATGTTTCCGATTGAGTTTCACACAGATGTCGGTTTGCTTGTAGTTGTTTGTAGTGATGTTTCCGATTGAGTTCACACAGATGTCGGTTTGCTTGTAGTTGATTGTAGTAATGTTTCCGATTGAGTTTCACTCAGATGTCGGTTTGCTTGTAGTTGTTTGTAGTGATGTTTCCGATTGAGTTTCCCACAGATGTCGGTTTGCTTGTAGTTGTTTGTTGTGATGTTTCCGATTGAGTTTCACACAGATGTCGGTTTGTTTGTAGTTGTTTGTAGTGATGTTTCCGATTGAGTTTCACACAGATGTCGGTTTGCTTGTAGTTGTTTGTAGTGATGTGCCCAATTGAGTTTCACACAGATGTCGGTTTGCTTGTAGTTGTTTATAGTGATGTTTCCGATTGAGTTTCACACAGATGTCGGTTTGTTTGTAGTTGTTTGTAGTGATGTTTCCAATAGAGTTTCACACAGAGTCGGTTTGCTTGTAGTTGTTTGTAGTGATGTTTCCGATTGAGTTTCACACTGATGTCGGTTTGCTTGTAGTTGTTTGTAGTGATGTTTCCGACTGAGTTTCACACAGATGTCGGTTTGCTTGTAGCTGTTTGTAGTGATGTTTCCGATTGAGTTTCACACAGATGTCGTTTTGCTTGTAGTTGTTTGTAGTGATGTTTCCAATAGATTTTCACACAGAGTCGGTTTGCTTGTAGTTGTTTGTAGTGATGTTTCCGACTGAGTTTCACACAGATGTCGGTTTGCTTGTAGTTATTTGTTGTGATGTTTCCGATAGAGTTTCACACAGATGTCGGTTTGATTGTCGTTGCTTGTAGTGATGTTTCTGATTGAGTTTCACACAGATGTCGGTTTGCTTGTAGTTGTTTATAGTGATGTTTCCGATTGAGGTTCACACAGATGTCGGTTTGCTTGTAGTTGTTTATAGTGATGATTCCGATTGAGTTTCACACAGATGTCGGTTTGCTTGTAGTTATTTGTTGTGATGTTTCCGATAGAGTTTCACACAGATGTCGGTTTGCTTGTAGCTGTTTGTAGTGATGTTTCCGATTGAGTTTCACACAGATGTCGGTTTGCTTGTAGTTATTTGTTGTGATGTTTCCGATAGAGTTTCACACAGATGTCGGTTTGCTTGTAGCTGTTTGTAGTGATGTTTCCGATTGAGTTTCACACTGATGTCGGTTTGCTTGTAGTTGTTTGTAGTGATGTTTCTGATTGAGTTTCACACAGATGTCGGTTTGCTTGTAGTTATTTGTTGTGATGTTTCCGATAGAGTTTCACACAGATGTCGGTTTGATTGTCGTTGCTTGTAGTGATGTTTCTGATTGAGTTTCACACAGATGTCGGTTTGCTTGTAGTTGTTTGCAGCGTCGTTTCCTCTGGCTCCACTCCTGGCGTTGGTGACCAATCTTGTGGATATTAGAGTGGATGCCAAGAGGATGCTATGGTTGAACCGCCGACCTGTGGCCTATATACGGAAGGACATTGGTGAGTGTTCACTTTGTCATCATACACATAATATAGATATCATTCAACTGCCGACCTTTGACCTATATATGCAAGATATCATTGAGTGTTCACTTCATCATCCTACACAAATATAAATATCATTACACCATCAATCTTTGACCTATATACACAAGGACATTAGTGAGTGTTCACTTCATCATCATACACATA